GCTCACTGGAATGGTGGACCAGCAGAAGGACAGGCCAGAGAGAGAGAGAAGGAGGAGGAGGAGGTCACAGTTGCCAGGGGAAACCGGTCTGGTCCGGTCCGCCTGGCTCCAGCCCGCGGGTCACATCTTGAGACATGGCCATGGACACCTAACTTGGCGATACTGGCGTTGGGCGAGGCCAGCTCGCCGGACAGGCCTGACAGCATGCCCCTTGGTCACCTGTAAGAGCTAAGACCTTAGAAGGAGCCCAGCAAGCATCTTACAGTAGAGGGACATTGCGCTGGTTCTGATCGGGATTCTTGGGTCCAGCCTGCTGGTTCTGGTTCTTGTTGCTCACGAGGTCGGGGCCCTGCTGGAGCCGGTCTCCTCCGATGAGCTGCGCGCTGTGGGGTCTGTGGGACGAGCTGTACCGTGCGAGTGCAGGGAGTGCTGCTCGGAGCAATGGCTGATCTCTCTCTCTCTCCCTCCCCCCCGTCTGTGTCCCACAGTCATGAAGAAGAGGCTGGTGAAGCTGGTGGTGAATTTCCTGTTCTACTTCCGCACAGATGAGGAAGAGGTAAGGGCGTGGGCGCAGGGGCGGGGGCACCCGGGGGAGACGGTGAGGGCTCGGTGTGACGGCTCTGTGTCCGACTGTCCGTCTCTCTCCAGCCTCTGGGAGCCCTGCTGCTGGAACAGTGCCGGGTGGAGAGAGAAGACAGCCAGGCCTTCTCCATCAGTGAGTCTCGTGGGCGTTTGGGGCTCTGGGCCCGGATCCCATTCCAGTCCGGTCTGGTCCAATACACCCAGTTCATTCCAGTCTGGTCCAACACAAACAAGTTTACTCTGGTCTTGTTCAATAGAACCCGGTCTATTCCAGTCTGCTCTGGTCCAGAACAACCCAGTCCATTCCAGTCTGGTCCAACACATTCCAGTCTGTTCTAGTCTGGCCCAATACCACCTAGTCTATTCCATTCCAGTCTGGTCCAGTACAACCCACTCCATTCCAGTCCAGGGCTCTGTGTACACTCTAGTGGAGTTGAGGGTTAAGTCCAGATCAAGACTGGTAAGACCTGTGCAGACCTGTAGTCCAGTCCAGTCCAGTCCAGTCCAGTCCAGTCCAGTCCAGTGCCTGGGCATTGTCTTCCTGATTGGGACCATTCCTCTCCGGTGTCCGCAGCCTTCCTGGACGAGTCGGAGCGGAAGTACCTGTTTGAGTGTGACTCTCAGGAGCAGTGCCAGGATTGGATGGACTCCATTATCCGAGCCAGGTCTGTC